AAATACCAGAAATAGGACGTAAGCTCTGATCAGGGGGACTGTGAGCACAATTACCTTCTTTTCAAATCCTTCTGTGACACTGCGGGAGGAAAAAGGACTTTGAAACTTGAAAGGAAAGAGCTTGCTTTCAACCTCAAAAGCTAGGAGGAAAGGGCTCTGAAATTTGCTCAGTATTCCCAATTCACCATTAGCCTGTTTCTTCCTTTAGCCTCAAGGCATTCTCCGCTTTTTGAAAAGATGTTAAGAAATTCAGTCACAATAGAGAGCCTAGTTTTGAACATGTTTCACTCGGTCCATTGAGGTCTGGTCTTCAGCCTTTGTGTGGGGTGAATTGAGCTGAGCAGCAATCTGGTTGGGGAGAGGTGAATGAGCAGTCTCTGTGCAGTCACAAATTCTGGCAAAGAAAAGATTACCCTTTCCTTTATTTTACAATATGCATTCCTGTACAATCCTGCTAGTGGCAATATGCAGAGCTGAGCTTGTGCTTAGGTCAATATGGAGCACTTGGTTTATAGCAACTCTTGTTAAGTTTGTCTTGTAATTGAAGCTGCTGTTGACCTTGCTTGGAGACCATTTGTAAAACCGTTTATTTAGCATAAACTGAAATAATAAACCGTCCTTCTCTTAGGCTGATTGTGATAGGGTGACATTAGTTTGATTTAATGATTAGCCGCCTGACCCCTCAGCTAGAGAGAGCTGCTTGAATAGGGAGAGTTCACTAGGAAGCACACAGGAAGAATACTAATGAGCTTGTTAAATTTAGCATGGCACCAACCACTTTTAATTCCTCTAATGGGAGAAGCACTGCCTTTGAGAGAGAGGGAGGGAGATGGGGGGGGGGGGGGAAGAGAAGGGAGAGGGAGGAAAAGAGGGAGGAATGCCCATGTCCTGGTAGCCAGAGAATTTTGGTCAAGAGAAGAGAAGAGCTTAGAGGGAACATCAGACAGGGTCTCTTGGACTGAGTTGTAAGTACCTTGTTTTTTCTCTTACTCAGCTGAAGTGCTGTGAGATCTCTCATGAGATAGCAACGCTGTCTGGAAGTTGCAAGCAGAAATATGGTGATGAAACTTAATATATTAAGAGATCTAATTGGGCTGGTGTTGTTTTGTTTAAGCAGGGTGTCTCTGAAGTGTGTTGAGATTTACTTTTAAGTGTGCTCTATCAATAGGTTTCAACTTTTTTTTCAGTTGCTGACTTAAGGTGGTTTAAAGCAAAATAGCTTCTACTTTGTCTTGGTCTATGGTAAAAAAGGCAAAAAAGTTCAACAGGTAAAGAAAGTTTAAAGGAGGTTTGCGTTAGGTATTGGCTTGTGCTGATTTTTTTAAACTTTCTGAGTAAATTAGCTATGCAATTAAAAGTGTGTTTATTCAGGCATGCTGTCCAGTGTGAGTTTTTTGAGAATGCTTTTTGATTGAGAGGTGCTCCATTAAGTGAGGTGCTCAGGAGTTCTAATAAAATTGGCTTCTGATCAAAATAGCAGAGCTAAATCAGGTATTTCTCAGTGGATGTGAGAATCCTGGATTAAAGCTATCATTCAAGACTGGGCACTTCTAACATGTGTCTCTGCCTATTGGCTTGTTAAGTCAGAGAAAGGGTGTATGTGAAGAAAGAGAAGCTTATGCAGATTGCTCTTGGGCATGATTGCTTTTTTCTTTTCTTATTTAACCCTTCACTCTTACACTGGCAAAAGGTGGAAAGAATTATACTGGAGTTGGTGGGCTGCTACCAGCTTCATCTTTCACTTTGGCATTTGTGTCTCTGCAACATTTTGATAAATCGGATGTTTCTTTTGACCCTAAAGCTCGGCACTTCTAAAATGTGAGCAGAGCAGTAACAGAACAGTGCTCACTTATTTGGCTGTAAAACCCCATTGGCAGATGCTGCTGGAGAAGTGGGCTATTTGCTTACATTTTTGCTTTAGAATCCCACTTGTTGCCATGGTGGACAGTGTGTTTCTGTCAATAATTTGGCCTGGCGCGCCTTGCCCGCACTTACTCTTGAAACTTTATTGAACGCTTCAGTTGAACCAGAACAAGATTAGACAGCTTTCCCCTTTTGGCGCACTGGAGTGGCTCGCCTGCCGTGACAGTCGGCAGCATTACTGCAAGAGGAGTTTCTCGCTCGGCGCCGGGGGAGCTCCTGCAAACTGCTTGGCTCTTAGCATCCTGGAGTGTGGGTGCTGTCAAATTTCTCATCTGGCCCCTATCACAAGCAGCCCAGTGGTGTGAAGTCAATGCTTAGCGAGCTGTTTGGCTGATGAATAAGCCTTGTTATTATTGCAAAAATGCCATCGTGTTTAGTTAAATAGTTCTGGGACAGTTTTTGTGTGGCAGAAAACATACAGAAACTTTTGACTTGTAATGGCACATTACAGTAACTTTATAATGGGGAGAGAGATCGTTGATGCAGAAGGAAAAATAGTTTTGTTTTCTTTTTTTTCTCAAGCAACCAAAAAAGGGAAAAACTTAATAAAACAATAAAACTTAATAGAACAAACCATATTTTCCCTTTAGTTTCTAAATTACTGAAAATAGGTTTTGAATTTCATTCAACAATTTGAAAAATCAGCCTTTCCCATAACGCTAGTAACCTTGATTCATGACGTGTGCATGTTTTGAGAAGAAAAGTATGAAAGTGGAGCCCGCACACGGATGTCAGCTTCTTGTTGTATCCCAGGATGGCAGTTTTAACAAATATTATCTTTATATGGAAGAGTATAAGAACTGAAATACTATCTGATCATCTGAGTGATTATAATAGCCCCACAAATCACTCTAACTTTCTTCTTTCTGAACTGTTGTAGCACTGGTTAGCTTGCTCTACTTAAGAGTCTGTCAGAATTTCAAATGAAGTGTAATTCCCTGTTTTTATAGGAGTTTACATCTCATCAGTGAAAGTTCACTCTAGGTTGAAAGTTAACATAAAAGACTGGCTAAAGAGAAACCTGATGCAAAATATATCTTTGGGGTGATTATTTTTTTTTTTTTTAGTTATACAAGCGGGTTTCTAAAAACCTCATATAAATTTTAAAGTTTTAGTCCCTGATTTGCAGGTCTCTAACTAAAACCAGCTTCAGCGTAAAAAGTTGAAACCTTAAACCCTGCTAATCCAGAGCAGGGACCAATGCCTGTGCATATTAATAAAAAGTAGAAAAGGGCAAAGGGTTTAAACTCTGTAATGTTGTTGTCTATTTCCATTAACTCTTTCTTCCCAGACCCAACCATGGAAAAGCTCTGCATGTAGAATTACTGTCTGTAAAGGAATTCTGTCCCTGGAAGATGCTGATAAGTCAGCAAACCCTGGTTGCTGTAATACTTGGAGATAGAAAAATAATTAAGTGCTCAATAGGCTATGCTGCTGAGTTTTTGTGTTGTTGCTACTTGAGGGGAGAGGGGGCAGAGAAAAAACTGGTTAGCATTTAATTCAAAGTAACGGTGTGGCTAATTTACGCATATAATGGCCAGGTATCTGTATGTACAGAACTTGTTTCTAATCTAATTCGTATAAAGGCACATAGGTTGAGTTAGGCTGGTGTCAGGCTTGCTGAATGTAGTCACCTGGTGAGTGGCTGGCTGCTGCTTTTGCTGTGTGAACAAGTATACCAGGGAAAGGTACAAGTGAAAACTTAGCCCTGACCTCGAATCTCTGACAACTGAAGTGCAGTCTTGGCACTGGTGTCAATCATTGTTCCATGCAGGTGGATTGTAGAGTAAGAGCACTTTAGTTTTATTTCCTAAGGGTGTTTTAATTTCCTTTTCTAGTTACCATTTTTGTGCCCAGCATTTAATAATCTGAGATTCCTTATGTACTTCTATAACTGCAGAGCAACTTTGAAGAATCTTTATCAGCATTCCTTCAAGATGTATTGGTGCACACTTGCACGTGCAGTGTGGTTGATGGAGCAAGGCTGTACCTGGAGCATTGGTATTGGCCAAGGATTACAGCCAGCAAGCAAACATGCTTGTTTAGAGAAACATCTATATTTTAAACCAATAATGCAACCGAGAGAGCATTTACATTAGAGACTTATATACCAGCAAAGCCACTCTGCTACATGGCACGTGTGAAATAGGAGCATTCATCTTGATTTTGAGTAACAGAACCATTTTGTCTGCTTTTTAAAGGGTGTATGTAGTCCCTAGGGGTTAAAATTCCTGTGGGAGTGGTGGGTTGTTTTAGCACCTAGTCCTAGAGCAGTCTGCAAGGAAGGCTGGTAGAGCCTTGTCCCCTTACAAGTGGTACCACAGGCCTAGAGGCTTACTTAGGGCTTGGGTTTGAGTATCTTAATTATTATTATTTTACCCCTGCTTTTCTTTCCCCTTGTTCATTAAGAGTTTGTGTCTATGTTTGCGTGGATTTTGGAAAAAAAGAGGTAGGGGGAATAAATGCAACCATCCTGCATGTGGTGACACTGTCAGAGCAGGTGGCCTTGCTTGTGCCTGCCTGATGCTGCTGGTCCTGTATCTTGAGTGGTTGTACCCATTTTACTGTTGCTTGCCTTGGTTCTGATCACTGCCAACCTCCCTGCAAGGTTTCAGTCCCTCACACAGGCAAACCCCAGGGACCTGGAGCTGGGCTGCAGAGCTGTGGTGGGTGGCTGGGTGTGATTTAGGCCCAGCTGGTGGGGTTCATCTTCTCCTCTTTGCGACAAATCATTTCTTGACTCCCTATCAGGGAGCTCCCAGTCTCCTTGTCCCAGAGGCAGGGAAACAGCAAGCCTCTGTCTATTCCCACACAATTGATAGCCCCGCTGCCGGGAGCATCAGTGCATGGGTGACGGTGATCTACTGCTCGGCTGCTGCCGGCTCTGAACGGGCAAGTGTCCCCCGGCCATTCCTCACAGCCACACAGGCACCTCCTGTCACAAACTTACACCGGCAGGAGGAGGAGGGCAGCGGGGGGAGAACTTTTCTTTATTGTATTTGCTATAAATGGGCTAAAAGTGTGTGTCTCTCTTTTTTCTTCCCTTCTCTCTTTCTTCTCCCTCATTTTTTTTGCAGAGGATGAAAGTCCTGGGCAGACCTATCACAGAGAGAGAAGGAACGCGATCACAATGCAGCCGCAGGGTGGGCAAGGCCTCGGCAAGATCAGTGAAGAGCCTTCCACGTCGAGTGAGGAAAGGGCCTCATTAATCAAGAAGGAGATCCATGGATCTATATCGCACCTTCCCGAACATTCTGTACCCTACCGTGGGACGCTCTTTACCATGGACCCCCGAAACGGTTACATGGACCCTCATTACCGTGAGTATTGACTGCTGGCTTATTTGGGGATGCAAAGTTGGAAGGCTGTCAAATTTATTGTGATTTTGTCACTTTGCATTGTCCCCAGGGAGAGCTGCTTTATCTGGAGGGAGTGGTAAATGCAATCTATTTTTTTCCTGAAGTTAAAAAACAGGGTGCAGTTGCACTGCAGGTAGAAATTACTGCAGGCCTCTGCAAAGTGACTTCCACAGGACATCTCATCTGTTGCTAATCCTCCTCAGCCATCCAGGGTTGTGTTTTGCTCCACCTCCTTAAAACATGAAGAAAAATGGGCCTCATTATAGCAAGCAGAGAATGAAAATGAAACAGGCCTTAAAAATCCCTCTTTTAAAACAATGTTCAAGTATGTTATTGAGAGGAAGAAGGACTGTGCCCTGTACACAGAGAATCTGGCGAATTGGAAGGCTTGTTTTTGTGCTTTGGGACTTTTTGTTTTGTGTTGGAGGGTTTTTTTAGACATTCAAAAGTGTGTTCGAGAATGCAGACTTGATGGAGTGTTTTTGCAATTTTCTTTCCCAGCTATAGTTCCCTGAAGTTGTAAGGGGGAGGAAGAAAGGCAAATGGTTTCAACTTCTGAATTCTCACTCAGGCATTAATAAAAAAGTAAGAAATTAACTGACACTTGAACACAGATGTGGAATGGATTTCTCCACAGGCAAAGTATGAAGGAGTTAAGCAATTTTTTTTCATCTGTTTCTAGTTTACAAAAAAAAGAGAATAAAGATCATTTAGTTGTGTAGTAATGAAGTACATCTTGAGGTGTCAAGGCTTGTGCCTTTTGATTATAGATTTATCACCCAGTCAGGATACAGATTTGCCATTTAACCTTTCAGTCTCCAATTCCAGATGATGGGTTTAAGACCCACAAAGAGAGAGCAGTCTGCATTGGTTTTCCTTTTTTTTTAACATCATTCAGAAATTTTAGTATTTTAAGGCAAAAGGTCATTAGCCAGACGACTGATTAGTGAGGACACCTGATTAGTGCATGTTTTTTTGCTAAAGAAAGTGCCAGGGATAAAAGCTAATTTTATCCCTTCATTAGTTGGGCTAGCAGCAAAGGGGAATGTTCACTCATCAGGGTGCAGATCAAAGTATGTCTTGAACAACCTTAAGTCTCACCAACCTCCTTTAAAAAAAAAAAAAAAAGGAGCCTGATTGTTAATAAGGATGGAGGTATTATGAGAAAATGAGCACTTGTTGTCTGTATAGTTTAGATCAGTATTTAGGAAAAAAGTTTGCATTTAAGCTTTTGAGCTCTTTTGCAGTGTAGTCAGTTGGTTTTTGTACACCTTCCTCTCCCGCTGTCCTACAAACGTGCTCAAACCCTCTGGGGGAGTTACTCATCTCTCTGTTGAGGAGCACACAGTTGCTGTAGCACACCAGTGCCGGATTCCTGCCAGAGAGGCATGAATGTGCAGTGCAGACGGCGACTCGTGAGCAGCAGAGCATACAAGTATTACCTTGGGGGTTGGAGACACCTTTCCTAGCTTCTGGTTTACAAATGCCCTAATCTAGCTTAAAAGAAATCCAACAAGACAAGCTAGTATTATTGGGGAAGCAAAATAGCTTCTCTGTTTGTAGGGAGTACAGCTGGGGAGAAATGAAATGTGTGACAAAAACAACCCTCAAAACCAACAAACGTTATGCTGAATTTAGTGGGAAAGATTGCCATTTTGACCATCTGACCAGCTGCCAGCTCACCCCTTAAATTTTGTTCAAAGTGTTACTGAAATTACTGAAGGTTGCGACAGAAGAAAAAGAACTGGTCAGTCAGGATGTGTCTGAGTGGTTTGGAATTAGTTTATTTTGGTTTATTTTCTCAAATTCACCTTCTGACAAGAGTTGTCAAGATTTAATGAAGCTACTGTGTCTGTATTGTGACCATTAATGCTAGCTAGTTAGGCTAGCATTTTTTAGACTCTGTTTTAGATTTTTAGATTTTTTTAGCATTTGTTTTTCTAGACTACTAGAAAAACATTGATATCAGAAGTTGAGAGAACACCAAAGTTCCCCACCATATGACATCAGAGAAACAGGAGATGAGTTAATTTTAAATGAGCAACAAGATCATAAAGCAGAAATCTAAGTCAGAAAGCATCAGATGGACAGACCTGCTTCCTTCTCCTGTAATGAGTAGTACATTTGTATTCACTGATTTATAAGGTCCCTCAAGCTATTAATGTCATAAAAAGAGCCATCTTGCTTTTATTTACTTTTAATAGCTGTGATACAGAGAGACAACTAAAAAGACAAATGTCTAGTTAGATTTATAGGAAAGCAGACAGTCTTACTAAAATTTTCATAGTAGTTGTATCATTTATATATGTAAGATATGCTTTCATCAGAGTGGTGACTGTATTCAGACTGACACTTTTAGTCGTCCATATGAAGAAGGCTGAATAATGTACACTGTAGCAACAGGTAAAGAACCAGAGAGGCTATTGTTTTCCTTTCTTAATTTCTTGCCAGTTTTGCTGGGCACATGTATAAAAAATGTTTTAACTCAACATAGTCAGATGTGTAAACATTCACAGTAATTTCTTAGTTTCCTTGTGGTTGGAAAATATAGACTGTTCAAGATGCCTAATTTGTGCTTCTATTTATACCCACTTTGTATTTAAAAGTGTGGGCAGGCTTCCTGTAACACAGGAAAGGGGAAAATAATTTTTTTGAAGAAAGACATCTGTATGTTTTTATGACAAAAAAAGAAAAAGAGTGTTTAAGTAAGTTCTGTGTATAATGCATGTCCCTTCCATGAGCTGCAGTTATTAGAAACAACTTGAGTGCTTTGCATTTTTGCATGTAAACACGTATGTGTCTGTTTGAGCATTGCAAGATTTTTTTGTTTTATTTTTTTTCTAATTAAAACAACTGATGTTGTAAATGTTGGTAATAATAGTTACCATAAATGTGGAAGAAATCCCTCATTGAGGGGGAGTTTGCTCTCCTGCAGAGTGTGGGTGGGGATAATTGTTGTGTTTCAAGTGAACCAGGTTTTCAAACAGCTGGGAGGAAACATGCTATGGAGCTGGCGGCCCTTCTGCACCACCAGAGAGCCCCTCAACCATTTAGCAACTGAGAATGGGAATGCAGTCCCATGCTCAGCTCACAGCCTTCTATCCTCCAACAGATAAAAGGGAAAACACAGGCCTAAACCAGAAATTTTTCTTTTCTGTCTTTTTTGTTATGGATTTCTTAATCACTGTTTAAACACAGCTCACAAAGGAAGGGGGAGATGCTGGTTTTGTTTGTTTAACTTCTAAAAAACTTTTTTTCTTTAAAAAGGCTTTAGGACAGATGACAGAAGAGCTGGAGTTAGCTCCTTTTCTTTGTTGAGGAGAGCAGAGTTACTGACCTTAATCACAGTGTTTCTTAAAAGGATTTGAAATCCTGATTTTCTCAAACACTAATTCCAGTGCTAGCTGGAGCCCCTTGTTAATGTAAATTCCGTCTCTAGAGTTGTGGCTGAGGCAGGGAAGATGGGGATAGCAACTTGCCGTTGTTATTTTCTTCCACAATTTTAATTTTCATGTAGATTTATGGCAGTGCTAAGACTGCCTGTCTCACAAGTCATTCCTCATGGAAAGAATGAATCATTCCTGATGTAAACCCTTTGATTTAAAACATACTGTTGATATTCTTCCCTGGGTTACACAGATCATCTGAAAGAATTGTTAGTACCTAATTAGCAAAACCTGAGGAATTATCTTAAGCAAAAAGCGGTGACAGATCACTTGGCTCTGACCCAAAAATTTATATGTACAGGAATGTATGGCCCTTGCGGGATTCTCTTTGTGGTAAATCACTTCATCTCAAAGAGGTTGCACTAGCTGAAAGCAGGAACTCACTGCTTTCTTTTATTTTTTTTCATTTTCCTTTCTTTTTTTTCTCCTCTTCTTACCAAGGATTTATTTTGCTGGTGTTGAAGCTTCTGTATCTATCTGGGGAAGTGGGAGCTGCTTATTGCACATTTCATAGGATTAGGCCTCCAAAGGTATTGATTGCCCTCAGTTCCCACTGACTGTTCTTGGGCTTAGCTTTGTAAGGACTGGGCCTTGCATAACTGCCTGAGTTAGATTAGCCAGTGTTAGTGTCACCTCAAAATCAATTTGCAACATGAACTCAAGACCCAAGCAAGGAAAATACAATGCTGCTTCACTAGGTGGACTTGTTAATTTACTAGTTTTAATTTCTGTTGACAAGAATTCCCGTTCCTTCATATCCCCATTGCAAGGGAAGAGAGAGTGTGGAAAAAAAAGGGGAATTGGAGCCTGTTTCTAAAAATGCAAACTGTTAACTGAAAACACTGTTTTAAAGTGCAGTAACTGGAAAGCAATGACTTTTCATGGCAGTGACTCTTGGGCCACAGTGGCTAGCTATGTGTGGCACATTTGACAGTGAGAGCAGTCCAGGTCACCAGCAGCAGATGGGCTCATGGAAAGTGCCTACAGAGGGGTAGGTGGTGGCCTCCTTTGTCATCTCCCTGGCATAATCTGGGACTCAGGAGAGACAGCCAAGACACTTCTGGATTGCCCCAAAGCAGGCACTTTTTTCACCTCTAGTTTGCCAGTGTCTTTTGGTGACAGGAGACCAGGAAAGCTTTTTATAGAGAGTTTCTACCTGGCCTTGTTGGACAGTGGTAGAATGTCACTGGAAAATCTTTGTAGAGATGTAGGGCCAGAGTCTTTAAATACATTTTGGTGCTCTTCAGTTTCAAACTGAGTTTGGCCTCTGAGAATTTGGGTCCTACTTCAGCTGTGCAGCATTTTGCATGGGAGAGGCTTAAGCACTCTAGTAACAAAACTCTCTACTGACAGTGATTTATGGGGTGGTTTCCAAGTGTTGTCAAGTAGGAGTAGTTGAAAAAAGTCAAATCTAAAGCTTTTAATAGAACCACAAGGAAAAAAGCCTCTGTTAGAAAAGTGAATGTCAGACTGCTCATGTCAGCTGAGCAACTGAAGTGTGGGTCTTTAAAAAAA